TCGAGGCCACTGCACATCCATTGACCAGTCAGGCACTCTTTGAGTGAATTATAAGCCACATTGGACCAAGAGGAGAGAAGATATGCTCTGGACAAGGATTTTTCATATAATTCTGCTATGACCTTAACCTTAGACCTAGAAACATGGTTCAAGGTCACTACACACCCTTAACTCAAAGGCACTCTGTGGGTGAAGGGTGAGCCAGATTGGGCCAAGGAGAGAGAAAATATGCTCCGGACAAGAATTTAAACATAGAGGCTATTTTTGACCATGACCCTTGACCAAGAAACTTTGTTCAAGGTCACTGCACATCCACTGACCAGTGGCACTCTGTGAGTTAAGTATGAGCCACATTGGACCAAGAGGAGAGAAGATATGCTCCGGGCAAGGATTTTTCATATAATTCTGCTATGACCTTAACCTTAGACCTAGAAATATGGTTCAAGGTCACTGCACACCCTTTACCCAAAGACACTCTGTGGGTGAAGTATGAGCCAGATTGGGTCAAGGAGAGAGAAAATATGCTCCGGACAAGAATTTAAACAGAGAGGCTATTTTTGACCATGACCCTTGACCCTGAAACTTCGTTCAAGATCACTGCACATCCATTGACCAGTGGCACTCTGTGAGTGAAGAATGAGCCACATTGGACCAAGAGGAGAGAAGATATGCTCTGAACAAGGATTTTTCATATAATTCTGCTATGACCTTAACCTTAGACCTAGAAACATGGTTCAAAGCCACTGTGCACCCTTTACCCAAAGACATTCTGTGGGTGAAGTATAGCCAGATTGGGCCAAGGAGAGAGAAGATATGCTCCAGACAAGAGATCTCAGACAGACAGATGGATGGACGAACGGACAGACTGATCACTGTACGGCGCCCACAGAGAAGGGCCCTAATTAGGCCCCACCCCCTTTATGCAGCCTTAACACTGCTGCGATGTGGAGGGAGTAAATGAATAAGTTAGGAACACACAGTTATATTTTAAGATGGTGTCTTATAAATTATACAGGGAAATAAAGCAAGAAATAGCACTTTTTTGTGAGCAATAAATATAGACCTTTTTCAGTGAGTGGCACCGTAGCTCTCTGGTCATCCATGCCAATTTTTTCAGACCAGCGAGCTACAGATATGCAACTAAGTTTTTCAATATTTTTTTAATATAAGAGCTTTTTATGCATTTCAGTGTAGTGACAATCAAGTTTAAAAGCAATGTCTGTATTAAATTACAATTGAACTCAGAGAAGGTGTGGACTTTTATAACAATGTGATAACAGAGAATTTAATAGCAAGAGTTATACAATATATTGTGATAAATGTTATTGTCAAAATATTACATAAATATCCACTGGTAATCTTATATTGAGACATGTAGAATAATGCAAATAGTTGTTATTTGATACAATATAGCCCTTTGAGGTAATTGATCCATACTCATTACATAGATATGTCGACTTCACAGAAATCTGTAAGGAGGTTTAATCCTGAGCTTTTGGACAGATTTTTTTCCTGATCTCTATTTCTAAAATGTGCTCCATATGTACATTTTTTTTTTACAATAAATTTGGATTCTACAATACCAATTTAACTATATTAAATTAAAACCCCTCAAATTCTATACAATGAGCATAAAGTGAGAAACTGCATTTTGTTGTGGAAGATTTTTTTTCTAGAAGAAAATTATCCATTATATATTTCTTTTTGGGAGCAGTTCTGTTAAGTTTGGATTCTAATTTGGGACCAGGAAAAACATCTCACTGCACAAAATTACTCTTTGTGCAGCATGCATGGAAAAATAGGAATCCAAACCGAACCGAACAACTTGGACCGCGGTTTTGATTATTTCGGGAACCATAAGAGCCCTATACCCTAGTCCTCAAATTGGTAGTTTTAGTAATTTTCAGATACAAGAAGTTTCTAGCATGCTTTTATGCTATATTGGTCAGAAATGCTATAGCAACATGTAAGTCATGATAGTTTACCGAAAATTTAAGAAAATATTAACTTCAAATCTGTGTCCAAGCCCTTTTAAGGACATTCATAACATAGTTTTGAACTTATTCTTATTCCCTAGCCTGTATAATTTAAGAGTTTCAATAATTAAAGGACCTTTGTGAGATTTCATTATGTTTGGTAATGCTGTACATCTCCTCTGAATCAAATTTTGAGGAAATATCAGTTAAAACTATATTTTAAAAAAAATTCTTTAAAAAAACACAAGGATTTTCATCATTTGATATCTGTTAAAAACTCCAAGTGATGTATGCTGATTTTTTGGCTTAAACATGTGATGGTACATGTTAAATTATTTAATTTGCATACAATCCAATCACTAAGAAATCTGCAAAATTAGAGCAATAATAAAAGGTAATCCTACCAGACATCATTAGAAATTGACATTTTATTTGATAAATCATATTAGATACAATTTATTTTTCTGAAAATTGCAGCAGCAATTAAGCTCCATTATTAACCCTGAAGGAATTTAAGATAAAGTATCTCAGTCTGTAGTTCTTTGATGTTAATGATATGTCTTGAATACAAAACTCCACCCCCCCCCCCCCCCCCAGCTTAATTAGTAAAAAAAATATATCTTTACCATAAAAAAACCATAACATGGCCTGCAACTCGTCGCCATTTTCACCCTGATCTCGGCTTTAAGTGCCATAAGTCTAAAACTATGCTTGTTTCAATCTATGATACATATTTTCATAATTTATAAACTGTTTACATTCTTGGATGATCAATCATTTTGTTTTCAGAAATATTTTTAATATGCATTTAAGTCAATATTTGTCTACTTCCAGCAGAGATAAGATGAAATTAAAAAAAAATGGTCCAATAGCATAAAGCATAGACACAGAGTACATTTCTTAATGTCAATTAAGATTTTTTGCTCTCTTATATTTATAACTCTTTTCTTCCTTTGTAATGCCCAAATTATCATGTTAGCAAAGTTCCTATTTTTTGCAGCTATCACCTTGAACTTGTTTAAAAAATCTTAAAGGTTACACTGTATCCTTGACAAAAATGAATTTGTGTGAGTATTGTCTCGTAGCAGTTTAAAATATGCCAAACAACTATCTATCAAAAATCCAACTTTTTTTTAAAGCCTTAAACTTTTGACAATTGATATACATTTTGTAACTAATGATTTGTGATTACATACCATACTATGTGCAAATTACTTATCCATTTGCATGCAATTTTATCTTTTGTACTTTATTTCTTATTTGCAAAAGTGACCTTGACCTTTGTCTTATAGGCTTGAAACTCAGTAGGGATCATCTTCATTCTATGCACTTCATAAGTAAAGAAATCACAACAGATCAAATAACGGTCCAGGTATTGTTTAGTAATAATTTTTTCATCCACATATGACCTAGACATAAAAACACAAGAGATTTTCCTCATGTGATTTTGAAAGCTGATTGTGAAATATGAACTTAGTACAGTGACTCATTCATTAGTTAATTTAACACCTGTCTGCCATAATACTCAGCAAGTTCTTCATAAGCAGCATATTAAAGTACACTGAAAACTGTTTACTGAAACTCCCTTTTTTCATTGTTTTATTTCCCCTCAATTTTTTTAATAAATAATCAGAATCTTTTTCGTCTGATATTTTCTTACAAAACAGTAGGAGTGTATAATTTTTCAATTTGTTGAAATATTTTTTAGGATTAATATTCAGTTTCTTCAATTTGACTTCCAGGGAGGTTTGTTCAACAAGGCTTGTTTACCACAGAATTATATGCTGATAACTTAATAACAACTGTTTTTGTATCTTATTTCATCTTTCACATGAAAATATGATTTTATACAAAACAATAAGCCTACATGTATATTTCATAAAAAAAATATGATTTTATACAAAACACTTAGCCTACATGTATATTTCATAAGAAAAATGGTTTTTCTCATAACATTTTATTACATGTAATGGTAATTAAAATTTATTTATGGATTATGTAAATATATTTTCAATGACTCATAGAATTTTGCACTGCATCTGAACATAAAATTGACATTTAGTCATAAACAAGAGACCCATCGGCCAAAATTCTTCCCTAAGTCAGCAAGATTGTCTTGCTATTCTTCAGATTTTTTTTTCATTTTAACAATTTTTTTTTCTTTTATATTCCCATGAAAAAGTCAAACCAAACTTGAATACAAACTACATGGGGATTCTGAATATCAATTTGACTAACATGGCATTGCTTTAATTTTTTAAAGATTTTTGTCTGTATACATGCATTAAATAAAATTCAATCCCCTATTTTGGCTGCACTTCAGCCTGGGTGTCTATAATTCAAACAAACTTGAAAATTTAGACTAATGCTCGACACTTTTGGCATTTCAGCAGTGAGGGATCTTTTTTGTGCCAGCACCTACTGGGACATGGTTTATAGGGTCTCATCCGAAGGAGTTCTACATTGAAGACTTTTGGCCCCTCTGGGCCCTTGATTTGAGGGGCCAGCCCCTTTCTCTTAATTGATATCAACTCAAAGCTAGCTCTTATGATCTTGAACACTTTCTGTTCTTCAACTCTTAGTCTAATAATTTGTGAATTCCTTTTTGTTTCAGAGATATGTATGAAAGAAATATTAAGAGGACAGCCACATCAATCCTTAATAGGGCTGTATTGCTTTTCAAAATGTTCAAAAAGCATCTAAGATTTAGGGTTATGGCCCCTTGTGACTCCTAATTATGTAGCATATGATCAAAATATTAGTATTTACATTTGAAGATTGTTAAAATGAACATTTTTGCTTCAGTGTAACAAATGTTATATAACAACGTTGACTACAATTGGTACATGTATAATCTTTCAAAGGGGGTAAGAAGACCAATGAACAACATGGAGGACAGGAACACTCATATATTCTGATGTCTCAATAATGACCTACTAAAGAGTATCATGTTTCCCAAAACATTGCATCTAGGTAGTCTTTCATTTGAAATACCGTGATAACAATATTGAAGGATGTTTTTACCTCAAATAAATGTATCCTTCCATTGCTAAGTTTCATCTCCATCAAAATTGTTGGCTCCAATACTCTATTGAGAACACTGAAATTTGAATAACAAAGTATCATTAAAGAAATATGTTCTTAATAATTACAGAACTACATGTAGAAATATGTCCATAGGACATGAATGCCCCACCCTAGGATCATTAGTTAGGTGTAAGTTATGTAAGGTCAAGGTAAAATAAAATGGACACAGTTGATGAATTCTCACCAAATTATGCATCAGTGCATAAGCTTACATAAAATATCTTTGAAACTGAACCAAATGCAACTTATAAGAAAAGTAAGGTCAAGGTCATAAATTTTAATGCAGTTAAACAGCACTCACTAAATGTCTTGATTTTTTTCTTAAAAATGAGCTAAACACAATTTTGAGAAAATTGAAGTTAAGGTCAAAGGAAAGATCATGGCAAAATGTTGATGCAATTGATTAGCTTTTATCAGTATGTACCAGCATATGAAGTATGATAGAAATATCTTAAAAAATTTCTTTGAAACTTAGCTAAACACATATTTAAGAAAAATGAGGTCAAGGTCAAAGGAAATGTAAAGGTGAAAAATATTGATGAAATTGAATAGGTCTCCCAATATGTATATGTAGCTAAACACAATTTTGAGAAAAGTGAAGTCAAGGTCAAAAGAAAGATCAGGGCAAAGTGTTGATGCAATTGAATAGATTTTATCAATATGTACCAGCATATAAGGTTTGATCAAGCTATCTTGAATAGTTATTTTCAAACTTAACTAAGCACAAATTCAAGAAAAGTGAAGTAAAGGTAAAAAAAATGTTAATGAAGTTGAATAGTCTTACTAGTATGTATCAGCAGATAATGTTTGATAAAATATTTAAATTTAAATAGGTTCTTTGAAACTAAGATGAACACAAATTTTAGAAAAGTGAGGTCAAGATCAAAGGAAAGGTCAAGTTCAAAAAATGTCTATGAGAAAGTTGAATAGCTCTCATCAACATGACTATCAGCATTTAAAGGTTTGATAAAAATATCTTAAATAGTTACTTTGAAACACAATTTTTTGAAAAGATCAATGGAAAGGTCAAGGTCAAAATTTATTGATGAAGTTGAATAGCTCTCATCAATGTGTATCTAAAAAAAGAAATTTGATAAAAAATATCTTGAATAGTTTCTTTGAAACTGAACTAATTGTAAAGTGTGATGGAAGGACAGACAGAAGGACTGAAGAACAGAAGACAGACATGACAAACACTATGTGCTCTGGCCATATTCATGGTTGGGCATAATAAGACTGGGCATCTACTTTTTTGTTTGTTTTTATTCGTAAGTGATAAACTAAAAGAATGTGATGTAAGAGGTAATCTTTTTGCCGTGATTTTCTGGAAATCTGGACCAATAAACATTAAACCTCCTCGATATCAACACTAACATTTTACAACATCTATATATAGTCATAGCCTAGTGGTAATTAATGTATACTGACAAAACTGCGCTGCACTCCTGCTGTTTAATTTTTTTGTTATAAAGGAGCTAGTGCATGTGAACTTAGAATTCTGGTTAATGAGTACCTAAACCACTTCATAAATCACATCACATCACATACACTAATATAATCTAGATGTCTTGTCTCTAGTCCTCTTACTGAAAGATATAGTTATATAACACCTAATTGCAATTCAACACAGCACTACTTTTAGAAGTGCATAAAATATTTAATATATGAATAAGTACGCACTGTGAATTGAATGCGCATTTTTTAGGTTGTGTAACTTCAATTTTTAGTTATTGTGTAACATAATTACTGTGAATCCTTTAGCATATGTAAAATAAGTTCCATTTTAACCAGAATTTAATTAGAATACTATCATTACTTCTAATGGAGGACCACATGCGTCAGGTATACTCCAAATAATCTAATGTACTAATAATAATTTTACTGTAGGCCATCTTCAGTCAGGTGCTTAGCATCACATGCTATCTGCTATTAATAAAACATCCCTACTGCATATTGTCAGATCAATTTGAACCCAAATCCCCTTACCTTGTTGATATGGCAACATCTACTCTCCATTTGAGTTGCTCAATCTTTGGCAATCTTGGCCTGCTGTCTAAAATCTTGTTTTCTATCCGTGGTCTCCTGAAAAAAAGACAGAAAGACACAGTGGTAAATAGTGACCTTGGATTAAGACCAGAGGACCAGGGGTCTTGACAGTCACCTGAGTACCATGAGCTTTGAACCCAATTATCATTTCATATTCATACAGCTTGTCTCCTGGGAGTAAAGAAAAAAATACACTGTATAATTAATTATATAATAGTGTTGTACTTTGCATAAACTATGCCTAAATAGTAGTCAGGGTTTGACACATGGTGCACGAGCCGGAGGAGAGTGCACTATGTGTCAAACCCTGACTAACTATTTAGGCATAGTGCATGATAAGTACAACACTATTGTTATTATTATGCTGACTGTTGTATAAAAACGACAATATTTTCTCCATTTCCAATGTTTCATCACCTCTTACATTCATGCTAGTACACCCCTATTATGACATCACATTGTGTTACATGTATGTCATAATCTTTTTTTCTGAAAGTTCCATGCATTAGGTATAATGTACAGATAGTTTCAGAGAATTTAGATGAGTGAAAGGGAAAAAATTGCAAGAAACTATTTTAGAAAAATTGTGGGTTTTTTTGTTCTTTAAGTCTAAAATATTTGAAACTAAGTTTATATATATAATAATACGGTGTGTCTGTGGCTAAATCAGTACCGCGTTGGACTGACAATCTCGTTGGTCGTGAGTTCGATCCCCGGCTTGGCCGCTGTCGGATTTTCTTCAGAAAAAGAAGCCGTGCACTATTTCGGCATAGTATGTTTACTCTATATAAATCCTTGGAACACTATGTGAAAATAGTTGGGTATTGATTATATAGAGACAAACTGACAGAAAACATAATAATTCAAAATATATTACCAATGTAGCCAGATCCCAAGGCTGTGATCCCTGGATTCAGGGGACATGAATTTTACAATTTTTTTGTAGAGAGCTATGTGCTCAATATAACAAGGCAAAAGATATGTCTGTATCATGAGTAAAAGAGAGCATTTTCAAAAATATAATGCATTTTCAATATAAGATAAATGAAGTTCCACCCAAAGGCCTGAGCCAGGGGCCTTGAGGCCATGAATTAAAATTTAAATGAAAGGGCTTAGTATGTTTTTTTTAATCATTGAAACAGTTTGCTTGCTAAATGCTCAAGCATAACTAAATAAGAAGATTTTCAGAGATGTATTTTCAATATAAGAAAATTGGTTTGAAATTGTTTTCAGTCATTTCAGAGAATAAGCTGAAAATGTTCAAAAGCTAACAGACAATGAAACAGGGCAAGTTGAAGCATGACATTGGACAGAAGTATAAATAGCAATAGATCACTGAGTGAACATCTATTAAAAGGACCCTCTATAAATTTTACAATAAGAGTTCTAGAGTGGCTGGTACCCTGTGTTGAAAATGAAAAAAACTCAAAATTTACATATTTATAATTAAAAAAAAATTTTTTTTAATGCCCCCACCAAAAAGAAAACAACAAAAAACAACAACAACATTTTTCATCAGTAATATTTATTAAGCCTTGAAGGCATCTAGTGTACAATACAAAATATTCAAGTCCTGTCACTTTAAAATTAAAATGATCTTTGTAAGTAAATCATTAACTACCTATGGCTGATACTAGCAGAATGAAATAGTTTTAAAATGTTCAGAACACAATAGGGAGAGGCTTGGTATATTGTTATGTTCTGAATATAATAACCATGTAGATTTCTTTGTTCATCTTGGGGGGGGGGGGGGGGGGTAGCTTTTTCATCACAAAACTTAGCAGAGATTTATCACCCACCTATCTTCTCTTTTCTGTTGTCGTCTTTTGGGGGGGGTTCTTTTTGGGGTGTTTTTTTTATTAAATCACTGTTTTTGTTTGTTTTTAATTTTAAAGGAGATTTATCACCCACCTATCTTCTCTTTTCTGTTGTCGTCTTTTTTTTTGGGGGGGGGGGGGGGGGGAGATGGGTGTTTTCTTTTTGGGGTGGTTTTTTTGTCATAAAGATTTTTTATTAAATCACTGTTTTTGTTTGTTTTTAATTTTAAAGGAAAAGTCTTTCATAAGGTGGAAGGTTTCATAACAAGACAAGGTCAATGGTCCCATGTCAACAAACAAAGAGTCATGCTCCCGCATAATACTACAGTAAAAATATATTTACCGGTACAATCACTACTGAAGTAGCCAAGATAAAGACTTAACTATTCAATTATTTTTAAAACTGATAATGAAAATGTCACAGTTAATTCATTATAATTGTTCTTAAAAAAATTGCAAAATGCATACAATCTCCAAACTTCAATGAAATTTACATAAATACATAAATACTGATAAATAAAAGCTTAAGGAAGTCTATTAGGTCTTAGCCTCCTGTCTGAGGTTGATTTTGATGGATAAGAACATTCGTTGATCTGTAAATGTACTTTTTTCTACAGGGTCATAATTCTGTGGAATCAAAATCTCTGTTCAATGCACAGGGAGAAAATTATGTAGATTTCTTAGATTGCCTCTATCTGCCCTAAACGTACTTAAGTACACTGAGACATATTTTCACAGAAAATCTGTGACCACATACATAGTGCAAATTAATACAACATGGAAAAAAGTACTTCTACAGTCATTTGATCATCTCATATTATAATGATGAATGAACACAAAGTTTGTTATATTTTTGATGAGGGAACTCATCCTATAACTCTTTTCATCTATTGACATATGATAAATATCCCTTTGACAGGCATATTTTACAAGGTCTAGTGTACCAATTAAAGTCTAATTTTTAAGAATATGATGATTTATCATGACATATTGTATTTAATGGTAGAGACCTAGCTAAATACTCTGTTGTAATAACAGAAAGTTATGTTGGCTACTTTATATATATATACATGTATATATTTTCATTTCTTACTTGCAACAGGGAATTATTTAATCTTAGACTAATTATAAATCCTGGATTTTCAGAAAATTTTGAAATCAGTGTAGTGCCTGAAGACTAACTTAGTTTTGCTTGAAATATCAGTTTTCACTGTAGTAGATACTGCGGTCTAAACAGGTGTGTATATAAAAAGCTAATATAATTGAATTATTGTTTATTTTTATTCATTCATGTTTTTATTGTGTTCCAATTTCATATTTTTATTGTTTTATTTTGAGTCATAATTATCATTTCTAGGGTAAATGCCTTTAATGTAGTGTATCTGGTGTTCTACTGTTGTATCTGTGGAAAATAATGACGCATGCGCAGATGGGGGTTAGTCGATTTTTGATGCCAGGCATCGACTAACCCCTATTTGCGCATGCGTCATTATTTTCTACAGATACAACAGTAGAACACCAGATACACTGCATTAAAGGCATTTAACCTAGAAATGATAATTATGATCAATAAAAACAATAAAAATATGAAATTAGAGCACAATAAAAACATGAATGAATAAAAATAAACAATAATTCAATTATATTAGCTTCTTATATACACACTTACCCATTTAGACAGTATCTACTACAGTGAAAACTGTTATTTCAAGCAATTACCTAAGTTAGTCCTCAGGCACTACACCTGATTTCAAAATTTTCTGCAAATCCAGGATTTATAATTAGTCTAAGATTAAATAATTCCCTGTTCTGGATGGTAATTAACAGATAAAAATCAGAATATATGTCAATTCTAGGTGTACCCCCACCCATAGCAGATTTTACTCTTTATATTAACAGTGTCTTTTAATTTTTGTGTCCCCATAATCAAAGATTTGGGGACATTTAGTTTTTGCTCAGTACATCAGTGTGCCAGTCCATCTGTCTGTCTGTTGGTTTGTCTGCAAAAACCTTTAACCTTGCCCATAACTTTTGATTGGTTGGAGCTATTGCTTACATATTTCATGTCTTTTCCTTGTAACAAGACCTTTCTTCCTTTTTTGGGTACTAACATATTTGACTTTTTGACCTTGGAGTTTGACCCGCTTTTGCAAAATTTACCAAACTTTAACCTTGGCTATAACTTTTGAACAGTTGGTGATTGGGCTTTCATACTTTACATGTGTATTCTTTGTGGTAAGACCTTTCCTTTGGTACAAATATTTTAGACCTTTAAACCTTGACATTTGGCTCACTTTAAAAAAAAAAACTTTAACCTTGGCCATAATATTTGAATGGTTGGAGCTAGCACTTTCATATATTACACACATGTATTCTTTGTGATAGGACCTTCCTTGGGTACCAACAATTTTTTACCTTTCAGCCTTGACATTGCAGCTTGACCCACTTTTGAAAAACTTTATCTTTGGCCACTTTTGAACAATTGGAGCTAGGGCTTTTATATTTCACAGCTGTATTCCTTGTGACAAGGCCTTCCCTTGCGTTCCAACAATTATGATCCTTTGACCTTGATCTTGGAGTTTGACCTACTTTTGAAAAACTAAAACCTTGAGCATAACTTTTGAATGGTTTGTTCTATGGTTTTCATATTTAATAAGTGTTTTTCTTGTGACAAGACCTTCCCATGGATACTAACAATATTGACCCTTTGACCTTGGAGTTCAACCTACTTTTGTAAAACTTCAACATTTGAATGGTTGGTGCTAGTGTTTTCATGTGTATTCCTTGTGATGAGACCTTTCTTTGGGTACCAACATTTTTTATCTCTTGACCTTGACCTTGAAGTTTGACTTGCATTTGAGAATCTTTAACCTTTGTCATGTGCTGCCATTTGAGGGCATCAGTGTTTCACAAACACATTAACTCTGTAAATACATATGACATTTAAATAAAACATTTCTAAATCCTTGAATAATTAAAGTTATGCCTTTTGTCAGAAATTTCACAGAATGGAAAAGTTTGCAAATGACCTTGTTTTTTCCAAATAGCTTTGGTTCAAGTCAAGGCAAACCCTCTGGTCATAAGCAAACTTTCTGCCAAGTATTATATTCTGTTGTACATGTATCATCACTAGAAAATTATGGGTCGGACATGAAGCAGGATGAAGAGAAAGACACATATCTCCCCACCATATTTTAGAAACATCACAAGTTCAGAAGA